GGTAGCAAAACGACTTACGTGCGGCCGATATGTTGAGGCCAAGTTGGTAGGCACCATTTTGGTGAGCATTTATGACTGAAGAAAAGAATAAGAACGGAACATTTTATCGAGAATACTCACAATTTCAGTGATATCAGGAATAGTGCGATTATCTAGTGGTAGTAAGTCCAACTTATTTTCTAAGTTTTCCGACAATTTTTTATCATTAGCTATTTCAATGCTTCGAATAATAGATACAACTTCTTTATAGCGATTTTTCATTGCTAACCATCGAATAGACTCCGGTGTAATCCTAAAAAAATTAGAAGATAAAATTCATTAGCGAAATGAGAAGCATTACAAAAGCGAATTATTTGAAAGATTCAATTGATTTTGGAAAATAACAATGTAAATTTTACGCTCATGAAAGATATGTCACAGGTCTTTCTCATGGAGAGCCTGTAGGACCATTGCCAGGAAAACTCTCAAAATATCCCTCAGCGATCTCGCGGCAAAGAGAACATGCGGGGCTCGGAGGGTATTAATTAATTTTTTGGTTAAAAGTGTTACACGCCGGCACCTCCAATGAACCCATCGCTACTTTTATTTTTTGGGATGAAAAGCCCGTGTAAAGTAACTTCATCAATGAATGTATATATATCCTTATTTCTTTCGAAGATTTTACGGACAATATTTAAGAGGCTTGGTGGACAAGGTGCATGAGTGCAGTTTTTGCTCTTTCGATAGATACTTGTTTAAAGTTTCAAAATTAGGCCTTGTCTTCACGGGACGTTTTCATGGGATTTTTCCCAAGTTCGAATTGCAGGAATGAAACTTCTGGGATTTTTCCCAGTTACCGTCTCCACGGGACAAGGCTCATACGATCCTGCGACTAGTTTGCGCGGGAAGATAACTTAGTTAAAGTCGAGTATTTAACCGGGATTAAAATAATAATTGCACTCAATTGACAATTAGACACATTATTTTAAATAAACAAACATGATAAATGGAGTAATCAACAAAATATCGCATAATTCGTTTACACTTCTTCTTCTTCTCTCAGTAGGTCCTAAGGGTAAAAGGACCATACTTGGTACCGGGAAAAATATTGATTAACACAATATTTTTCCCAACTTCGTAAGTGGGATTTTTCCCTGGGACAAATCTCGTGAAACGGCCCGTGAAGACAAGGCCTTACATGGATCCGCATGGCGGAAAGAAAGTTCAAACTGACTTTTTGATGCTTAAAAAATTGGAATTTGGGAGCGAATTTTTCACAGAACATACATGAAGACTAGTTTTACTTGAAATCATTAATATTTCATTTTTTTAAAACTGCACTTATGCGCCTTGTCCTCCATGCCCCATATTTGATCATTTACTCGAGACATTTTGACATTTTTCAACTCACCGGCGCTTCCGTTCACACGAATATATCATGCGTTGCAATCAAGTTTGAAATGTAAATACTGAAAGAAATAAATTTAAAAAAATATGGAATTGACTGAATTGATTAAATTGAAATTTGGATATTAACCATTACCAAAAATATGATACGAAGAACAGTCCTGGCAAGTAGACTGCCAATAAAAATGATCGCCAGTCTTGTAGCCACCACATCACCAAACCCATAAGCACCTCGCCGATAGGGAAAAAGCAACTCAGAATGGTTGAACTTAGGACGCGTTTACTCGGACCAACCAACTCCAAGCCTGTAAAAAAAGTTAAAATTGCTGTCAACGATTACAACAATGACCTACTTTTCACAATCAAATTGAAAATGGTCTAAAATTCAAATCCGAAACTGAGAAAAAAAAACTGTAATAGATTTCGATGAAAAAAACGAGACCATAATTCGATTGGTGCTATTGTAGATCATCTTCTCACGTGTTTCTGGTTTTAAGAGAAGATATTCCTTCGTTCCTCCAAGAATGGTTTTCGGAAAGAACATTCTAAAATTTCGACATGCGAAAAATTCTCTGACAGAGCAATCAAATGAAAGCGAAAATTTTAAATCAAAGTAGCGGTTTTCGTTTCTTTACCTTTGATATGAAATATGTGTGTTTGCAAATGCGCTCGCCCACAAATTTCTTTTATTTCGCTTTTATGTTCATTTTACTCAATGCTTGGCAATGCTGTCCTAACTTTGACGTCTTGCAAAAACTACGCGTAGACACTCTCTGGTGCTTAAATTTTAAGGTCAGTGGTTAGGCATAGACCTAAAAATTGGCCACACTTCCCCTTTGTTGCTTCTTTCTTAACTCTTAGATGCCTAAGCTGAGTCAAACTGATTCAAGGCTTGCTAGAAAGGAGCGCCCCGCGAGTTGAATGAGACTGGTATAATATGTATACGAACTTTAGCTATAAGTCTACAAATACATCATAAAAAAAAGAATCAGGCATCGGAATAAAAAAAAAGGAAAAAAATCGAGTATCAAAGCATCTGAAAATAAGAGAATCCGACTCGTTTCTTAAAACTTTTCTCCCGTATCTGAGTGAGACATTAATGGCAGCTTAAAGCGGAGCATTCCGAGTTCAAGCCTCGCGCCAGCGCGCCTTCAATTTTGCAGATACAACACGGACATCCATCAAGCGCGAATAGTTGTATCTCTGCGCCGTCATCAACGCGCGTCCTTTCCCCGTGCTCTATTTCCGTGTTGTGTTGGTTTCGTGTGTCTTATTTGTAGCAGTGCTTACCAATTATAAATACTGCCCCGAAGACGCCTGTTGAAGCCACAGCGTCTAGGAATTCAAAGACTAGAAACATTATGTAGTTCGTTGAAAAAGCGCGCATAATTCCAAACATGGCCGATAAAAGAGTTCCCGTCACCATAAGGAATCTCCTACCGTACCTGTGACATAAAAGCAAGAATAGAAAACCATTATCGTACCAAAAAAAAAAAAAAAAAAANAAAAAAAAAAAAAAAAAAAAACGCCAAAAACCAAAGAAAAGTATAGACTTGCACTAATTGATTTTAACTACCCGACGTCTTACGATAAAATGTGACAATCCGACAATAGGTATGTGATTGCTTCAGGATTACAATTTAGTCCAGTAAAAGTATTGGTGGTGGTTGGTTCCACCATAACTCCGGTTCATCCTGTATGCTATCGACTTGAACACGAGGAAAAAACTTCCTGCATGGGATCTTGGATCCCATGTAGGAAGTCCAGTTCGTATGGATCTCTGAAGTTTTCGGATCGTGCGTCAATAAACTCGAGGTTCAGCTGCCCAAAGTTCATGTTTCGGTCATACATCTGTAGTACCTCGGCACTCGGTACCTGTTGAATCTCCTATGGCGTCAACCGGAGTACCAAATTCCTTCTGATGTCCATTGGCTGAAATAGGGGGGGCCGGAGGGGACCTGCTTACCCCCCCCCCNTTCCCCCCCCCCCATCTACTTGGCCCCCTCTAAAAAATGGGAGGAATTTTGCTAAGTAAGCGCATGACACATCTCGTCACCTTCCAGGCAAAGTATCACAAGCGCCATGCGACGTTAAAAAATTTCCGCCGCCATTTTATTTTTTTACTGAGAAATTGTTGGTTGAATCTGTTCGAAAATTTCACTAAATTTTATCGGCAGCACAAAGAAAATTCGGTGTAATTTTCGGACAGCTTCGTTGAACAATTTCTCTGTAAAAAAATATAATGGCGGCGGAAATTTTTAAACGTCGCATGGCGCTTGTGATACTTTGCCTGGAAGGTGACGATCCATCATCATGGAAATTTGAATTGGATCAATTTTTCGCCGTGGACAGCTCAAAATCGCCGCAGACTATTCAATTTTACAAAATTTTGCGGGGGAATTTTTCGAACTCTTTTCTGGAGCTATGGGGAAGACCGGCAGACGTAGATAGCAAGTGGATAAATTGGACGTATTTCTGCTTAATAGAGCTAAGCGGCATGGGGGGAAGAGGGGAGGGGGTGGGCGGTTGGTGCCACGAGCTCATTCCGTCCCAAGCTCACAATGCTTTTCTATGGCGCTCATTGTTAGTTCCGTTTGACGGAGCTCGTTATCCGGGATTCTGAAATCCTCAAAAGGAACTGAAATTGGCGCTTAGTTCTTTTTAGCAAAAATACGTCCGAATGGTGACTTCGAGAGCTACAAATTCATTCAACGGAAAATTATGTTAGGCTCGTAAATTGTCGAAAAACGGAATCGGTAGGGCGCATCATTATTTGCTAATGTGCGGATGACAGGTGAGGTTTAGAGACGTTGCGACAATTTAATTGAGTTGACTTACGCGTCCGATATCATTCCGCCTATTGGGAGACCGACAAACTGCCCAATGTTGTTCACTGTTCCTACGAGTGTCAGTTTCCATCTGTTGTTGTCGCACATCAAATCAAACTGAAAAAAAGCAGCACATAGATGTTAGCATCAGTGACATAGCGGTCGGTGTCATACGTTTCATTGTCAGCTCAACGCAATAATGTTGAGGAAGGGATAATTTTTTATAATTTTTTTTTCTTTTTTTTTTCTACACTATACCTCGGATTATCCGAACTAATGTGGCGGTCGGCCGGTTCGGATAACGAAAATTTCGGATAATCCGGAGGCCATTAATATTCATTGATTTTATGCAACATATTTAATAGACGAAAGTGGCGAAAGTGATCTTCCATGATCTCTCTCTATCTGTAGGGTGCCTTTCTACCCCCACGAAAAGTTTCTAGTTCCACCTATGGTGTTCGGTAGAATATCTTCATTGGGAGAGTATAGACGATGGACATCGACGGTGTAAGTCGGCAATCACATAACTCAGTTGGCGACACGCAGACTTCCCGTCATACTCTATTTTTAAAACGAAAAGCTACTCAACGGCAATTCTTTAAAACTGCCGTGATTTCCCTTCTCTGTGCTAAGAAAATTCTACATAAACTTCAAGGAATGATGTCAATTTGTTCTTCTTTTAAAAAATAACATAGAGGCGGTTATTTTCAGACACCGCAAAGGAGATATGTGATTGCGGATTTTCGCCGTCGACATGCGTGGAAGTTCTCACGCATACAGATATTTGGACGTATTTCTATCAAACGGACCTAAGCGCCATAGGGTGAGGAAGGTAGAGGGGGGCTTGGATTGGCGGCAGAAGCGGGCGTCCGGCTTATTCCGTCCTATACTCGCAATGATTTTCCATGGCGCTTAGGTCCGTTTGACAGAACGCGCTATCCGGGATTCTAAATTCCTTAAAAGGAACTCGAATTGGCGCTTAGTTCCGTTTGATAGAAATACGTCCATTTAAAGCTAGAAGGATCGTGGGGACGCTAACCTCTTTTAATATGGTGTTCTCTGTGTCTTTGAAGACCCAGTGGGAGCAGCGCTCAGTCTCATTGGCTCTGAATCGAGCCGATGGGCAAGCGTCGATGACGTTGAGATCGTCCTGGAAGTCGGGCGCAGTCGTGAATCGGTCGCATTTGGATGGCACCTCCTCCGCCTCCGACTTGAACGGTACTGCGAATCGTAGCCACTGCGGTAGGAATTCCAGCCTCCCTTCAACATTGTCGCAGTCCGGAATCCGGCACCTGATCTCCGACAAAACGCCGTACAGTTAGTTATAGACTGCTTTGCAGGCTCAAATGGTTCACTTGTAAAAAAAAAACACACGATACTTGGTAAAATGATTGAAAAAATAATCGAGCCACCAGCCAATAATAAATTGAATATATGTAAATGATATTTCAAACTACATAGAGATGAGAAATAATAAAAAAACTTACGGGAAACAAAACAAACGTTTCGACCGCCAACACACTGCGGTCTTCTTCAGTGCAACAAGTGGAAACATTTTACCAAAAAAATTAAGAAAAATGTATAAAAAAGCTACAAAACTATTAGCAAAGTAATTAAAGGGATAATACAAATCTGTTGCAACTATATCTTGGAATAAAATCAAAATAAGGAAAAATTCAAGAGGAAAGAAGAGTGATAGCAGCGATAAGCTATGTAGTTTGAAATATTATTTGTTTAATTTATTTTTGGCCTGTAGCTCGATTATTTTTTCAATCATTTTACCATGTGCTTTGAGGCTTAGCCAGCCAAATTTGGCATTAAAATGTGAAACACATAATTTTGTCTCTGATTCGCGCCCTTCGCACCATGGTGGTAAAATGCGTCTAAGTGTATCTATTTCTTAGCATTTGCATAAAAAAAAAAACCATCCGATTACCAAAAATCATTTTTTTTAGTGTAACGCACTGTTAACCGGGGTATAATTCTTATTGAAAAAGTGACAGAGATAGACCTCCAGCAGGAATGAGAGATTTGTGAATTAGTTTACCATCCTTCATAAAATTGTTTGCAGCGTAAGCGCCGTGACGCAAAAAAGAGCGGCGCAATAAGTAAAAGCCTTCCATGTCCCGGGTATGCAACACGGATGGTCACTGAGAAAGGAGTCCTCTGCCTGGATATAAGTTGTAACCATTAACGCTATGTAGCGTTCATTGGTCGCGCTAGTTGCCGTTTCAGCTCATTACTAATAATGCGCACGTTACTAGGATTAGCAGATATAAGAAAAATTAAATAAGATAGTTTCATACTCGCCAGTAATCTTCAAAAACGAATATTAAGGGTATTAACGCACCTGTAGTCGAGGTCTCCAGCGGTAAAAACGTAGCTCATAGAGGAGGTGGCCGAAAAGCAGATGGCAAGTCCGAGTAAGATGTTGTTGATGAATTGGTATTTGCCATATTGGCCCAAATCATGCCAAATGCTGTCCAAATCCATTCCTTATTTTTCGGCCTGTGACACATAACGAATAGATATCATTGCAAAAATATAATTGCATGGATGGCGTATGGTAGTTTCGCTGATTACAATTTTTCGGAGCGGTGCTTCTGAAACCCACATCCTTAGGCAGGTCAGATTAAAGCAGTAATAAGCTCCAAAGTTGGGGCAGAGCCGTAATTTACCAAGCTCAGGCCCCGCGCAGACTGTATTTCTTGGCCCCCTCAATACGCTCCCTGGTAAAAATTGGCGATAGGAGCTGCGTTTCAAAATACCATAGGAATTCTTATAACCGGCTAAAGAAAGGCAATAGAAAATCATATAGCTGGCTGTAGAAAGCGGAGCAAATCATATAGCCGGGCTATACGAAGCGATAAAAAAGTATGCAGCTTGGCTATAGTTCCTATCGCTGGGCTTTACACTTTATCGCCATCGGCTATAAAAGGCTATAAGAAATTGTGTAGAAATTCGTGTGCTTTGGAAATCATTAAGTTTGATACGGAGCCAACATAATATTCACAAAACACACATTATATTTTCCTTTAATACATATTTTTTTTCATCAATTAAAATGAGAATAATCCATACAGGATGTGCAAACATTTCAAAATCATGAGTTGAAAAACGCTGACTCCGCAAGATTATACTGGAGCACAACACAAAGCGGAGTGGCGTGCTGCCAGCGATAAGCGCGCACCAGCGCCTACAAACCTAACTGGGATACTTCACGCATGGCGCAATGCGTGAAGTATCCCTGTTAGGTTTGTAGGCGC